CTGGATTTATATTAGGATGTCAAGGCGTTCAGTTTGTGTCCAGTGTATCCAGATGCGATCTGGTGAGCAGACATACTGATTTACACATATTTCTTCACAGCATGCCACGTGAGCTTGCCGTGCTGGGATCACAAAATGTGCTAATGTAGAGATGCAAGTAATGCAGCTACAGCATGGTGGGGGAAAAAATAAAACTCTGTTTCCAGCCTTGAGTAATTTTAAATTGTGAACAGACTCAGTGAAATCTGCAACAGTATTTTGATTGTCTGTGTTCCTAAACACTTGGGTTTTTTTTTGAGTTGGAGTCTTCATAAGGTGGTCAGCTCCTAAAGCTGAAGACCCCAAAAGGATATGTTTTGAAAGGTTTTACTCTTCATTTGAAGAGAATACTTAGCCCAGCAATGGTTTTGTTTGACTTCATTGAAAGCTGGCCTCTGTCTTCAGGGTCCGAAGACACAGCTGATTTGGTACAAGGCTTTCTGAACAATTTTATGGGGCCATGCAGGAGGGAATCCCAAATATATCTTTAGAAAATCCCTCTTGCCAGCATTATATACTCATTTTAATAGCGTAGTAATTTAAGAGCATACTTAGCCCAGCAATGGTTTTGTTTGACTTCATTGAAAGCTGGCCTCTGTCTTCAGGGTCCGAAGACACAGCTGATTTGGTACAAGGCTTTCTGAACAATTTTATGGGGCCATGCAGGAGGGAATCCCAAATATATCTTTAGAAAATCCCTCTTGCCAGCATTATATACTCATTTTAATAGCGTAGTAATTTAAGAACTAGCATAAAGGATTTTTATACTAATGTGATAAAGATAAACTGTTGAAAAAAGCCTGAGTGGGTACTGGTGAGCTACCTACAAAAAGCTCAGCCAGAATAATCTGTGGGTGGGATTACGTTTTCCTAGTTTGCCTCACCTAGTGAGGACAATTAGTGTTGATACCTTACAGCAAGAACTGTGAGGAAAAAATTAAGGTAGATCAAATTATACTAGCTTTCCAGAACACTTCTACTTGAGGAAGCAATCTGCACAAGAAAGGACAGAATGCAAAAGATTTTCTCAAATGGGTGTCTTTATGAACCAGGAACCTTGGAATAATTGAAATGGAAGGATACAGGGTCACTTGGTGATAAACGTGATTGTGTGTAAAGGCTTGAAGGACTTTAAGGGTTAGTGGAAAGATCTTTGAATATTTATTTTCGTTCATTTATTGCTTCAAGAAAGCTATTGTTGGTTCCTTAACATGCCAGTAGGTGTATTGCAGTGAGAGTGCAAGTTTAGAAGCACTTGGCAATCTAGATTCACCCAATATCAATGTACCGAAGCAGGACTGAGAATTGTTAACGTTATTCCAGATGAGATGGTTAAATGTTCCAGGAATTTTGGAGCCCTCTGTGGCGGGACGCATAGCATACAGCCAAAAAAAACATTCCTGAAACCATAAATTATTCTGTAGAGTGGTTTATGTAGGTGGAAGACCTTTGACACTATGACTCTCTAGAGTTTGACATCTAAAAAACCAATTATCTCTAGATACAGAAGTACTGAATTTCGACCTGAAAACTAAGATGACAACATTCATTTGAAAGTTACAAACAATAGTGGTATACAGATGTAACTATTACTGATTTGACTGGGTTGAAATTATAGTTGTGGGTTTCATTCCATCCGTAGAGATGCAAAATATACTCATGAATCAAAGAAAACACATACACTCCAGATACAGTGGCTTACACATCAGTCAAAGAAAGAATTTCCAGGCTGCTATGCATCTGAAGGAGCATGGGTCCTAAAATTGCATAGTAATCAATGCAGCTTTGATTGCAGCTAAGTTGTATTTAAATGTCTTGAGCTTACCAGTAATGCTTCCTTTCAAAGAAGAATTATGCGTAATATAGCTTTATAATGCATGAATCATTGGCATACCAAACTGTACAAATTTCATTTTATGAGCCTGTATTTCCAGTCTGCTTTGCAGTCAGAAGTATAGTTTAACACATAGGCTCTATATTATGCAAGTAAAAATGTTGCACAAAACAGGTAGCAAATTAAAAGGTGGAATTTTGTGTTTTTAAAGGTGGATATGGGTGAAAACAAGATTTGTTTCTGCTGTGGAGAATTTCACCTCACTAAATGCACAGAAGAAGAGGCTGTGCTGAAGCTATACCACGTGAAGTTGTGCGGTGATGCTCACCTTCTTCTCAAGGTACTCTACACACACTGCTTAACCTGACTGCTTTGATAATGTCCACACTTGTGCGACAGTGCAGTGCTGAGGTGACTGCTGTGGTTACTGTGAAAAATTCTGTAATTTTTGTGGTCTTCCACACTGGTCAGATGCTCTTTATGGTTCTATAAAAGTTGTTTGGTGTTTTTTTTTTTCTTATCTCTGGGTTTTGACCAGTGCATTGCTGATCCAATATGGAGTTCTTGTCCCTTCTGTGTTTTATGCAACCAAAACTACAGCTGAATTCAGACAAGATTGCGTGGGTAAATATAGTGTAAATTTTAGCTAATGATTTGATGCCTTCACTGGTCTTTTGATCTTCTCAGCCTTTCTTGGCTTACAAATGCAACTTCCAAAGACAAGCATCTTCAAATATAAAAGTGCTTTAACATTTCTTTAATGGTGAATATCTCACATCTGGATTTCCCACAGAAAAGCAAAGAGGAAGGTTATAATTCTTGGATGAATAGATGGACTATAAATCACATCTGTGCAGTATTAAACCCTTCTGGATCTCTGTCAGGACACACAATAGGGCAAACCAAGTTTTTTCAAATTACTCCAATCTTGGAGGTTACCAGTCCTGACGACTTCGTCACATATTGTTTCTAAGAACTAATTGTCATGGTCAGCGTTGTGGTTTTTGTTTGGTTTTGCTTTAGTTTTTTATTATTATTATTTTGACATTTACAAATACCTTGATTTAATCTTTCAATTTCCATAATCTTTATGTTCTTCAGAAAGTGCTCTTTGCTCTTTGTGCCCTGAATGCTCTCACCGCCACAGTTTGCTTGGTAGCGGCTGGCCCGCGGTTCTTTCAGAATTTTTGTACAAAGAGAACATGTGCAACAAGAAGATCATGCATAGTAAGTGAGTGCAAGGTGTTGCCTGCTATAAACAGCTGTACTGACTGTATTACTAGATTACACAGTTCAGCAATTTTTTATATCTCAGGAGGTTTTTAACAGAAGTTTCATTTGATTAGGATGATTCTCAGACTGGCGACCAAGATCACATTTTGGATCCTGATGATTTTGTCGCACCTGTGCCACCTCCCTCATATTTTGCAACTTTTTATTCTTGTACTCCACGAACAAGTCGCAGGTAAACCTCTACACTGTCTTCCTTTCTTTTAGTGTCTGTGGAAACACTGCATAATCTTCATTTTAAGACCATTTTCTCTGTTATTAACTTAAAAAGGTTGGTGACTTCAGAAAACAAACAAACAAACAAACAAAACCAGTTAGGAGACACTGTAAATATAGCGTGAGTGAGGGGTATAATTTTGTGGTTTTCACTTTAGATTCTGTAGGAACTCTTTCTGGGTAAGAGAAATACTGCAGTTTGACATGGCTGAAAACTTCCACGATGCTGTCAGGAGCAGGTCAGGGCAGTGATGGAAAGCCAGGCGCAACCTCTTGGCAAGGCTTGTGCGAGAGACCCCTGAATGGCAGCCTGGCCCCCCGCAGACCTTCCTGCCAGCATGACTCCGCTTCTCCCCCTTTGGCAATTAGGGCTGACTGGAGGGTATATTTTGATTGTACTGCCAGGCCATGGAATCACTACCCTTATCTCTGTACTCTTTGCACCTGGTGCTATTGCTGGACTTCTCTGCAGTGGCAGCTGCGGGATGGAGGAGGAGTGAGAGTGAACATGGGAGGATGAGTTCATGTATCAGAAAGAAACGGAGCATAGTCACAAGTCACTGCAATTCCGTGCCCCTCCTCCCCCCCTTTTTTTTTTAATTCATTACTACAAAGATGAGGGAAGACGGATTGGGAGGAGGATAAAATAATAGTTGTATAAATTTTCTTGTGAGTAAGAGAAAATGCGCAGAACGTTTTTATGTTGCAGAAGGCTGCCTTCTTTGGTATAGTTAGTGTTATGGAACATAAAATGTACATATGGTGGGGGGTTTCTTGTGTTGTTTTGAAGAATAGGGCTAAAAATCATTTAGCTAGTCCATTAAGTGTCAGCTCTGTTATTTTGCTGTGCTGGGACTTACTAGTGTCTATTTCTTCCAATTCAGTGGTTACTTGTGAGTTTTGTTATCCTTCATTCTGGAGATTCTGGAGGTGGTTATACACTGTTCACAGTAACTTGCAGGTTAGCTTTGTTTATTAGTTTATAACTCAGGTGGGGCTGCATTATTCTGCTGTGAACACACAATGTTTATACACAAAATATCATGATGCTGAAGCAGACTGTATCACTCTACTCTTGTTTAAAACTCCTGCTTTTTGCAGTGTGCAGGACTATTTAGTTAATTTCACTGTTTCATCAGGAATAGTGTGAATGACTTTCAACACTCTGTGGTCCTTGCAGAGGTAATTACAGATCCTGGGATTACCTAGAAAATCGTAACATGGCACAGGAATAGATTTAAGAATGAAAAAGTTGTCTAAAACACCAAAGACCAGGGTTGAATTCCAGACATTACTAAAAAACTCGTATGTGAGTCTTGGTTCAAGCTAGTTGTGAGAACAGAATGGTGTGCGTAATGATCTCTTTGGAAGATTAGGTATTTATTGAAATATGCTTGTCACAGTTCCCCTGCTTTAAAATGGGGCTGTCGTTCTTTGTCTGGCATGTCATTCTAGATGGTTATCTCCTTCCCAGCAGCAATGTTCCTCTTTGTCTATTTTCAGCGCGGCAGGGACTGCTGTACAATATTTAAGGCTTCTGCCATCTAATATTGGGTAGCCACCTCGTCCGTGACTGTGCTAAAACTTGTTCATAGTAACATTTAAGTGATGGTGACATTTTTCTGAAGTCAGGCCACTTGTTTCGAGGTGCTCAGGGTAGTTATGCAGCAGTGCAGAAGTTAAAGCAACAGACAGGCTTAATTTCCCTTCTTGGCAGATGAGGAAATATGACTCACCCCAGGCTGGATCCAGGGTGTCCAGCAGAGTGGCTGAGATGGGACCTGGCCTTCTCTCAGTCAGCCTCCTCGCACTTCTCCCTCCCCTCCCTGCCCGGTCTGTACGCCGAATGCCATGCTGTGTCTGTGACCTGGCTTTCTGTGCCGAGCTCCCACGGACCCCGCATCCAAAACCTTTGTGTGACAGGAGGGTGAGAGGAACTGCATTCCAGGGTGGCAAGCCACCATCTGCAAGCTTCACCTGGGGCGACTCCAAAACAGATACATCCCTTTGAGAAAGGAAACACTGCGGTGATCAAAACATGTGCCAAGGACATGTTTGGAACAGGTAGCCGTTCTCCTCCCTCCTTTAAATTGCAGAGCCAGAGGCACTGCTAACAAAGCCAATTCATTGGTTTGTTCATTTGTTCATCGGAAAACTTTTGCATTTGTCTTATTTAGTGGCAGACAAAACAAACTAGCATTACCAATGCCTGGTCAACTCTTACCTCTAATCTTGTTATTTCATAAATAAGGAAATAGCAATTAAGTTATTTTTCAGGATTGACACAACAACATGAACAGTTGCAGCTGAGTTCCCAGGTGAAGAAAAAAAATACAAAGTGTTATAAGGCGTGTGAATTTAAGGGAAGAGGCAATCCATGTGGGGCAGCAAACCAATCACCTGCGGTCTAGAAATCTACCCCAGTCCAGTTTAAAGTACCGTTTGGGGACTAGATGCGTTTGCCAAAATGCAAATTTGCTTATCCACGTCGTATATTCTCAAATTCAGTATGTGTCTCAAATGGGATGCAGATGCTGCTGACAGTTGTTTCTTAACCACTGAATGTGTTCCTACTATTGAAACACTGAATTTTCCAGGAGGTCAAAGCCCTGGTGCTGCTGTTCAGCTGAGGTACGATTGCAGAAGGTGGGTGAGAGGTGGCTGAGGATGCGCTTTCCCCCTTCAGTGTCCTGCTTACCAGCAGCAGTACAGAGCCTCCTCATGGTTTGGAGCAGTCTCTTGGCAGTGGGGTTCCCTGAAAAAGCTCTGACTCCTCTTTCCTTCCTTCCTGTATCATTACTTCAAAAAGCTGCTGGCTTTTTGACTAACACAAAAATTCACCTTGCTTACTTAAGAAGTGAGAGTGGAAATCAAGAAATAAAGAGCAGATTGACAAACGTGCCCATCCTGGAAACGACTTTTATATTAAGTGACTTAAAAGAATGCTTTTCTAGTTGCATGTTCTGTAATAAGTTTTAACATGATGTAATTCTTGGATGCAACATTCATTTTCAAGGTGCGACTGAGCTGGGTGAGCCAGATCAGACATGTTTAAGAACAAAACTAAGGTTCAAGAAGTATATAATTTTGTGGCCTGCGTTGAATGTAAGCTCAACATGAATGTACTGGAAAAATGTGAAGAAGTAATGTCAATGGAGCATCAATCTCCATCATACTCCAAACTTACTCTGAAGCTTTTAGGGGCAGATGAAATAGACTGAAATTAAAAACTTCTTTAACATGTTATATTTCCCCCATTTTTAAGATTAAAAAAATAAATGATCAGTTATCAAAATCTTTTCTTTCTTTCCTCAAATTTCTCCATTCATTACCTCCATTACCTCGGCAGGAGCCTTTCGCGAAAGTGCTCCCCAGTTTTCTTTTTGGAAGTTTTATTGTTTTCTTCTGTACGCAGCCTTCCATAGACATTTCCATTCACTCTGCCCCTTCCTCTCAGCTTGCAAGAAAATTTTCACAGTCATCTTTGTTCCCTCAAGCCAGTGTCCAGAGAAGCCCTAAACTGTGGGAGGAAGGACTTGCTCTTGTGTAATGTTTCTCTGTAGAGAGATCACATCAGCTAGTGATAGCTGTAAGCCTGACATGGGTCCACACAGCAAAGCGCGTAGGCTTCTGTGTGTTGCTTGGGGTTCCTGCTCAGTACCAAATCAGCAATTTAAAGGGTAATAAAAAGCAGAGAAAAACTGAGACGCTTTGGGTCACAGACTTCTCTGAAGATTGTGTGGGGAAGGTCCCCTCGGCAGCTCTGCTGTCAACCACCATGCTTTGTTCCAGTGTTAATGGGGTAATGTAAACTTATGTTATCAAAATCGATATTTGCCAAAAAGAGTTTCTCCAGACACTGTTCTGATTTCTTCCCTCTCAGAGCTACCTCCTAAGAGGAAGATGATACAGCAAAAGGTCTTTGGGATTTCTGCTGTATTTCAGGTTTCAGAAAGCTCTTTGAAAACTGAGAATTAAGGTTAATGAGGTACATTTGCCTCATGCAAGCCTTTGTGAATTGATCAACTATAATATTCTTAGCCAAGCATCATCACAAAAGTAGTGTTTGGTTTGAGTTTGCCTTTTTCTGTGCACCCGTATCTGACCATAAAACATGGGATCGGAAGTGTCTTGAATTTCAGTTGTAATTAAGAATTTAGTGGTTCACAAAAATCAGAGCGAGGCTATCACATTTTGAATTATCACCTGTATTTGAATCTCTTGAAACAAAACTGAATCTCTGAAGTAAAACTGAAATGGGTTCCCAGGCTCGGTACTGCCCAAAGACAGTTGTAGCTCTGGTGAACGCTTTGGAGAGGCACCTCCTAAGGAACAATTTCCTGCCATCTTCTGGGAAAACCTCTGCCATCTCTTGGCGAGTTCATTAGCTGTGATGGAGATCCCAAAGCCTGAGCTGGCATGGGAAAGGTAGTGGAGTTTGGTAGCTGATGACATTTTTCTGCAGCTGGAAAGCCGTACTGATGGAGCTGCTCGGTGTTGTTTGTTGCAGGATGCTTGGCTCTGATGTGATACCGTTGCCTCATATTTACGGAGCGCGAATCAAAGGTGTTGAAGTGTTCTGCCCTCTGGACCCACCTCCTCCTTATGAAGCTATCTGTAGCCAGAACAGCTCTGAGCAGGTATGGCCCACAGGAGTTTAAAGTGTAACTTGTTTTTCTGCTATAAAGGTAAGGTTGCACTGAGGCACGGTAAACATGAGCCAGGTATCTTTTCAGTTCAGAATAGCAGGAGAATGTGTTTGGCTACAAACGTGGCTTGCTGTAAATTTCACGCAAGGTTTTTAGTTAGTCGCTTAGCTTTACAGTTGAAAAGTTTTCCCCAGTTGGAAAACCAGGTCCGAGCACGGGAGAAGGAGCAAAATACACTGTGGAGCAGACCTGTTGCTGGTTATTCTAGAGGACCCCTGTGGTGCCTCCTTGCTTTACCTCCCTTCCACACCTGCACTCCTCCCATGTGGGACTAGTTCAGGCTTTTGGCATGCTCGCTGATTCCTTTTCACTGTTGTTTTCAGAAGACAGGTGCTTTTTCCCAGAAAATACTCAGCAGGATAAAATTGGCTGACCTGGATGATGGACATTAATTTTAGACATTCACTAGTCTTGGTTTTGCAGTGGAATTGAACACATATCACATAGTCACTGCGCAGTTAAGCAAAAGTGTTCACTTTCTAAGGTGGATGTTGCAGTTCTTAGGAAGTACCAGAAAAAAAGATGGAGGCTTGTGACTTTTCAACTTTTTTCTATTTTATTCCAGGCAGGTGCAGTACAAATAAGTGTCATGGAAGCTGTTGTTGATCCGGGGGGAGTGAGCGACAGACAGGCTTCTCAAGGTAAAAAGTACATTTTAAAGTTTATTCTAGAACAGTTATACCCAACCCAGATGACTTAATGTAACAGCAGCATTATTATTTCTGTGAAAGACAGACACCATCTTGCAAGCCAGAGATACAGATTCGTGATTGTTTTGGGGAGTAGGAACAGGGATTAATGTTTAAAATACATAAAAAGTTGTTTGCTCTTAAAATACAAAAAGAAAGATATATTTCCTTCTTAGTAATCTACAAGTTATGTCCATACGTTTTAAGAAGTGATGTCCAGGTCCAGTGCTTCCATTTGTTTTGTATAGATGATGGTGCCTGTTGACATTTTGTTGCTGATGAAAATAGGAAAAGGATAAAATAATGCTGTACTGTGTTGAGCTAAATGTGGGAATTACTCTTATTATTCAGCCTGCACTGGAAGCATTACTAAATACTTTCTGCATACTGGTATGGGATATAGGTAGACTACATGTACAGGCCACATCAAGCTTTGCTCAGCATTGTTTTAGAAAACCATGGAAATGGTTCCAGGTTGTTTTCAGCCTGATCTTTGTTGCAGCGTACACTTGTGGTTAAACATTATTGCCTCCCAGATAAGTCACAAGAAGCTTTTCCAGTACAGCGCTGGTGAAAATCTGTTCTACTTTTCATTTGAACTTGCCATTATGGGGCAGATTGTCTTTTGTGCAACAGATGGCTGTGTGCCTGTCTGCACAATGTTCACATCACAAGAATATACAGAGTAAAGACACGTGGGGGGCAGGGGAGCAAGCCCCAAATGTTATATTTGGCTGTGGCTTCTTCTCTGCCAACCTACTTCTCAAGCTATAGGAAAGTTTTGGTGTGAATTTTATCAGTTGAAATTGTCCCTACGAAGTGGTGGCAGGAAAAAAACATTGTTTACATAAAACCATACTTCAACCAAATAACAAGTCTTTCAAAGTTCCCTTACACTCTGGCAGTCTACCTGAAACCTCTGAGAACAAGCACTTGGATGCTTCTGATATCTCATCAGTTGTGATAACCAGAAAGAAATTCAGAAGACTTGTAGCAAAAAGTTTAATCGTCAAGGAGTTTGGATTGATAAAACTGCTATTGGTTTCTCTGGGCACTTTGAGCACAAACGAAAATAGGATATCAAACATAGGGCTGCATGGTGACTGCTTAAAGTTATGAGAATGGAAAACAGGAAAAGAATACTGTAGAAAATGCAACTGTTGTGAAGGAGAGTCAGGAAAGTTTTTTTTAAAAAAAAAAATAAAAAAGAAAAAAGAAAAAGCCATGATGAGGCATTGTTTGAGGTATTGTTTGTATTTAAAAACTTCCTTTGCAAGCAAGCAGACGTGAGTACATGTGATAAATTGTACCCTCCTCCCCATCTTTTTGACTGGTTTGCCCATGGTTTTTGTTTTTTTTTCTTAAATGAAAAAGCCTGTAAAGAGACATTTAAATCTTAGCCTGGCTGTTACATTCAGATAAAGAAGAAAGTGAGCATCTTAATGAAGAAAATTAACACTGCCAAAGCTTCCTAGGGGCTGTGAATTCAAGAAAAGAAAATATGCTGAGCAATAACTCTTCCTTTATATTTGGAGAGGTGTACTGGGTCTGGCTGGGATGGAGTTAATTTTCTTCATAGCAGCCCATATGGTGCTGTTTTGGATTTGCGACCAAAACTGTTCCTAACACACCAATGTTTTAGCTCTTGCCAAGCAGTGCTTGCGCAGCATTGAGGCTTGCTTCATCTCTTGCTCTGCGCCCCACACCAGCGAGCAGGCTGGGGGTGCACAAGAAGCTGGGAGGGGACACAGCCGGGACAGCTGACCCCAACTGACCAAAGGGATATTCCGTACCATACGATGTTATGCTCGGCAATAAAGTCTTGTGGGGAGGTTTCCAGGGTTGCCATTGCTCAGGGACTGGCTGGGCATAAGTCAGCTGCTGGTGAGCGATTGGTTTTACATCACTTGTTTTTTCTTTGGTTTGTTTTGTTGTCGTGTGTCCCCCCTGCCCCGCCCCCAACTGTCTTTTTATCTCAACGCACCAGTTCTCTGACTTTTGCCCTTCCAATTCTCCTGCTCATCCTGCTGAGGGGGGAGTGAGTGAGCAGCTGTATGGGGCTGAGCCAACTACTGGGGCTAAACCACAGCAGGAGGGAAATACAAAATGAGGGGATATGTTGGAATTGTGGCAGAGTAACTCCCTGCGTCGTCTCAGCTGATGTAGAGTAACAGTCTATAAATAAAAGCTGAACTTTCGGTTTATGCCGGTAGTCTGTTGTGCCAGGGCATTTGTGTATGATGCCATGATTTCCTTGGCATCATCAGGACTGATCGACTAAGCGTAGGTCCCGACGGAAGTTAAAGCTATGCACTGCTCTCTGCCAGCAGAACCAGGCGAGTCCTGGCTGCCTGCTGCAGGAGGAGCTGTATGGCTCTCTGTGCCAGCTAATGTGGTTTTACTGACTTCAAAAACACTCCTGTCAAGCAAAATGGGACTTTCCCTGCTGACTGTAGTAGGAAGACATGCAACTTTCTACTGATGGCTGGGGATGCTTGGCAGCATCACATACTAGGTGGGTGCATTTCCAGTGCACACCAGCTTACGCCAGTTATCTCTGACACGTGAAACCTTAATATTATGAAGAATTATCATAAGGTTATGAAATTGGTTTGTTCATCTGTTTAGTATTTTAATAAAAACAACTTCCCCAGAGCACCAGCAGCACTGTGCCTCAAGGACTGACTGCTGGCACAACTCCACTCGTGTTAAAAAGTTTATATTGGTGATGGATTCTTTAACCCTGCCTGATTCTTGATGTGCCATGCTTTGTTGCTGGGTCCTACCTCCTAACTTTCCAGGCTGGTATCTGCTTCATATAAGTTGTGTCACTGTTTCTTTTCTTTAGAGATTTTAGGTTGCATTTGTGTAGGAGATAAGGTGCTATGCTCAATGGGTACATATCATCCAAGCTTTAATTTTCTCAAATGTTCCAGTCACTGGTACATTTCTGTTACAGTAGCAGCACAACCATTTGCCATCTTCTGAATAAGAGACTATTTACATTAATTTGTCTTTTTGCTCTTGCACGAGCAAGAACATTCCTGTTCAATATCTTCACTGATGATCTGGATGAGGGGATTGAGTGCACCGTCAGTAAGTTTGCAGGTGACACCAAGCTGGGTGGAAGTGTCGATCTGCTGGAGGGTAGGAAGGCCCTGCAGAGGGACCTGGACAGGCTGGATCGATGGGCTGGGGCCAACTGCATGAGATTCAACAAGGCTCAGGGCCGGGTCCTGCACTTGGGTCACAACAACCCCATGCAACGCTACAGGCTGGGGGAGGAGTGGCTGGAGAGCTGCCTGGCGGAAAAGGACCTGGGG